CCTGAAATGACCTGTGATCACCTGTATGGCCAGCCCACTCCAGAACAGCAGACTGGACAGAAGAGAGTAAAGGATTTTCAAACCCACTTTTTGCTTGGGGGATTTGATGAGCAGTGAGAGATACATGTGGCAGGACTGTGTCCTCATCTTAGACGATGAAACAGAGTTAAAGGGAACATCTTACACTGAAGGGTCTGAGCTCAAACAAGAGGACACAGCAGCAAAACAGATCAATACCAATCTGCTGTGTACAGGAGGTTGAAGTAAGAGCAGTAAGTTGACTGGAGATTTTTTCCAAGACAAGTGTTTCTCAAACTATGCTCTTTCTGTGCTGGACAAGGCTAGAGTTCATTAATAACAAACTCTTTGCCTAGTTAGCAAAAATAATGGGTAACCTCTACACTGGAAGCCAAGAGAAGATGGCAAATGATTTAGTTTCTAGTGTGTTTTAAGTTAACCGACTCGCTTTTTCATTGTGGTATACATGGAACGCCTGCCCACTCCGCTCCCTTTTTCCCTCTTGAGCAAGTTTGAAAGCTGTTGTAGGAGGTATGGGCACTCGTGTCAGCACATGACTTTTCTGACAGCTGCTTCCTAAGGCCAGTGGAAGACAGCCTCATGCTGGCAGCTGGAGTGAGTTAGGGAGAATGCTAGGGTGCTCTAACAGTGGTTCTCACACCTAAGTGACCAGTTAAAACAGATGGCTGGGCCCTACTCCCGGGATTTCTGCTACTCTTGGTCTAGGGTGGGTGTGGTCAGAACTTTGGCAGTTCTGCCAAAAACAGCTGCTGCTGCTGCTTTCTAGATTTGAATTTGATGTGAATGGTAAGTATTAGAAAATTGTGTTTATTCAGAAGCACAAAGTTGGAAAACACCCATAGAGAGACCAAGTACTGATTAATAAAAACTTAATCCTAGAGTGATGTAACAACTAACCAACTAGAGTATGTTATTTGGATTTGGTGTTCCCGGGCCCCTCTCTCGCCCCTGAACACTGAAGGTCTCTGCATCTTCAACATGTGAAGTGACTGCCCCAGAGAAAGACATTCAGCCACATAATCCCCTCCCCATCCTCCCCCCTTGTTCCCTGCACTCTCTCCCAAAGGGCCAAAGAAGACAGTGGAGAGCAAAACCAAAAAGAGAAGGTACCGGGCCGAGCCCGTGGCGCACTCGGGAGAGTGTGGTGCTGGGAGTGTAGCAGCGCTCCTGCCGCGGGTTCGGATCCTATATAGGGATGGCCTGTGCGCTCATAGCACTCACTGGCTGAGCGCGGTGCGGCCGGTCTCAAAAAGGACATAAAAAACCAAAAAAAAAACAAAAAGAGAAGGTACCACTGTTCACTCACCATCACCCCACCTTCCCTGTTGCCCCAAAGTTTGTCTCCTTTGTGCTGTAACTTCTCGGGATTGGAGCACTGGAGCAGCGTTACTCAGGCAAGAAGCTCATTTAACAGCCAGTTGGCAGCAAGCCTAAGGGAACGGGGGTGCCAGTGCCATTGCTAACAAAGCACACAGGCACCTCGTGTTTTGTCGAGAAAATCTGGTGAGAAAGCATCAGTAAGTGATCCAACACAGAAGGGCTGTAGTCATCCAGCCTGTGATCGTGGAACTCCTTTGCTTTCTTATCACTCGTAAATTTGAAACAGTAAATGTTTTAGTGGATGGGGTGGCAGTCGGGGGACGGTTAAGAGCAATTCTGTCTCAGTCTCCACTCAGCTTGGGCACAATAAAGCGAATCCAAAATGTTAGCATGATGTGTGATGGAAGACCCTCACTCCCTAGCTCTCTTGTCCTGAAGCTCACACAGAAGATAGCTGAGAAGCCTCTATACCTTCCTGCCCATTTCACAGTGCAGATTTGGGCTGTAGCCTCAAAGGGCTCTTACAGTGAAACCATCAAGCTTTGGTACATTTCCTGCTTCCATCTCTTCTGATCTAGGGCATAAGCTAGAGAGCTCTCATTCTGAAATTTTCATTACTTGTTAATAGCAAAATATACTCCAAGCAGCTCATCTTTCTTGGGCCATGCTTCCTTCAACAGATCGGAATGCACAATCCTTGTGAAGTATCCAAAGCCTAAAATTGACTTGCTGGTATAGCCAGGATAATTGCAATTTTAAATGGAAAGCTCTTGGGGGAAAAGCCCATCTTTAACTTGCTCTAGACAGTGCCTATTTAGGCCAGAAGAATCAAAACCTTGACCACTCCATCAGAAAGTGTTTTGGACACAACACCTCCAATAAATGTGTATTTCTTGATAAACTATATTGAATTAGGTACATTATCCAATAAAAAATTTAAATGATAATATATTTGAATAAAAGTTGAATATCGTTTATTCTATATTCCAGTGGTAAACTGTGCCCATCTTCCTTCAGACCGAGGCCTCTTGAAGGCAAGGACCGTGTCTCTTTCCTCATTACCTTGAGAAAAGGGACCTTACATTAGGGTTCTCAATGTTTGTTACATGACTGCCACAGTAAGTTAATGTATGCCAAAAAAATAACGGTTATTTACAACAGGAAGAGGAAGGCCGTGTTGAGGGAACTGGGAGTACAGAGACCTCCATGCCAGTCCTTGCTCTGCCACTAGCTGTGAGACTTCTCTCTTGTACTCAGTTCCTTTATTTGTAAAATGAGAGCTGGGTTAGCTGGCTTCTAAGGCCTGTCTAGCTCTATGTATTTTGTGAAGGAGTGTATTTATTCTCTACACACAAACACACACACACAATCATCTGCATATATGCATGTGTAACCTGTATGTTCATGTCTGTATGTGTAATCGTTTTATGTGCAAGGTACCAAATTGGCTTATAATTAACGCATGCTCATTAAATAAGTATACTTTTCAGGTTCACGTGACTTAAATTTTCTAAAGTTTTGATAAATATATTTTCAAAATTTGATTTAAACCTTTCACCTAAATTTGCCTGTAGGTCAATATGTCTCCTTGCTATTTCAGCTCTGCCTCCTGGCCATGCTGGGAGAAACGATATCTTTTAGACAATGCCACATGGAAACCTGGGACCTGAAATGGCTAGTAAAAAGAAACGTATGCCAAATATCGCATAGGCCCTGGTTAACATTAATACTCCAGAAGTTTTTGGCTGGGAAACCATAAATACGTATTTAGTAAATCTAAATCTCAAACTGGGCTTTGTATAATTTGCTCTGATAAATGGATGCCTGTTTACTAACCTGAATGTATTAAAAATGTTCTTATCAGCACACATCATTGCCTGGGTTTACTAATCAAACCGGATTACTAGAGGTCTTTTCACTTGACTGCTCTCAATACAAAATTGTAAAAGGTTTTCTTTGCCTGTTAGATAACTGGTTTAAGAAACTTACTTCATGATAATCTCTTGTGCTCTCTACCTTTGAAACCCTTTGTCACTCTGGTTTTATTTTTGTAATAGTTTATGATTTTATTCAACTAAATGTTTTAAGCCTTTTGTTACTTGACAAAGCTTCCCCAAATCATAAGCCCAACCTTTTTGGTTTAGAATAACTTTGAGGAATTCCAAGGGCCCTGGAATTTCTCAAAGGATATATAAAAGATGTATCAGAACTAATTGGCTTGTTTAGTAAATTAGACTATATGGGAAAGCATTGTCAGTACTGAAGATGTTATGTATATGTGTTCCAAAATCTTGTAAGTTTCTTAAATATTTGTGTCTTGATATAAATGCACTGGTCATAATCTTGGTTTAATTATAATTTTAAAATGTCATATTTTCAAATATTTCATAAAAAGACTCTGATAGGTACAGTTTCCTGAAAAACTTTGACTTCATTGCTTTAAACTGAGGTT